ACAAATGTATCGATGAAGTACAGTGACAGTAATACATACTGTGAGTCATTCACCCACTCACTCACCCACTTCAATTACTCTGTAAGTTCTGTTCAAACTATGTTCAAAACAAAAAAAGTAGATCAGTCATGTGATAATGGGCTATTTGCATTCACTGATACAAGATGCAGTCCTCCACTTGGAAAGATGTCTTTCAGACGGGTTGGCAATTTATAGGATTAGGAGTACATATACCAGACTTGGATGGCTAGGTTTCATCTATTACTTGCCACATACTGGTTATACTGTATCACACTGATCAATAATTGTGGTTTTGCAAATATCGGTGCCATCGATCCCTTCTACCATTCTGAAGGATTCAGAAATCTGAAATATATATTCACATCAGTGATTCAGGAGGTGAGCGCCTCCTGCATATTGCGTGTTATCGCTCTTTGGTCCATGCCAGAATTACACACTGTCAACTCTTCATGGCAAGAGATCATGCTACTCAAGGTGTTCCCCAGTACCATCAACTAGTCAAGTATAGGGGAGCTGGAAGCGTCTCTCCTTGCAATGTTGTTTTTATGAATGCAGAGTCAGAAGGGATATGGTATTTTTATTTTGACTTAACTAGCTCTCATGTGTGTGTTTGATGATTAAATTCTTTGTAGGCACAAGGGTACATCAGTCATCTTAGGCACAGCTGAAACTTGTGATGACTAAACATCCTTATGTAGATAATGTTTAATGACTAAGCTCATTAATATGTTTGATGGGTAAATAAATAGATTATGTTGAAATTCGATGGTAAATAAAATTCATAATGTAGATAAAGTCTAATGGTGAACTGTTTGTAAATAAAACTTTATGGAAAAACATTATGATGTAGATGTTGTGCTGTACATAATGAAGATGATTGACAAGATTTCAGTTGATGTTCGAGGAGATGGAGAGTAGTGGGGCAGGAATGTCACCTCTTATGAGGCTCCCTCTACTAAAGGTCATGTACTCAAAATGATTTATTTTATCGGACCTGTCTTGAACTTTTTGAAATGATTGGCCTCCCTCAAGTTAAGCTATTGTTATTGTGAAAAAGATAAGAGGTTGGGCATTTATGCAAGGAATTACGGTAGCTAGATAGCCAGACAGATTTGATAATAAATAGTAAATTGTATATTCCCTGTATGCAACCTATCTGTACCTTCTCAACATCAATCTCAAGATAAATGAAATCTCACCTGGCAAGATTACCGAATCAATAAACACGAAACGAAAGCGTTCTTCAAACGACAGAGGTAACTAGCTTGGTAGACAAATATAGTTTAATGTATAGGGTACTCCTTCTGCCTTCCATGAGTTATCACTACTATAGATAGCATCTTCCTAGGTCAGTTTGACCCATGTTTTCCTCAGCTTGAATGCTTACAATTCTTGGTGATGTAATCTTCAGACTTAAAAACGTTACTCAAATTCCAGTGTAGGAAGTTACACACCGAAAGAATGTAAAGCAAACCTTGTTGATCATGGCATACACTTGTTCTTGCTCCTTGCTCCTCTACATTTAAGCAGATTAAAACCAGATTAACTGATGTGTCTTCTTTGTGTATGTGTTGGGCGGTCGGGTAGCCTAGTGGTTAAGGCGTTAGTTCGTCACACTGAAGACCCGGGTTCGATTCCCGACATGGGTACAATGTGTGAAGCCCATTTCTGGTGTCCCCCGCCGTGATATTGCTGGAATATTGCTAAAAGCGGCGTAAAACCATACTCACTCACTCACTCACTCTTTGTCTATGTGACCCGTGAAGATCTGGGTAGAATAGGTCTACAGCAACCCATGCTTGCCGTAAAAGGTGACTATGCTTGTTGTAAGAGGAGACTAACGGGATCGGGAGGACAGGCTTGCTGACTTGGTTGATGCATGTCATTGTATCCCAATTGTGTACATCGATGTTCATGATGCCAATCACTGGATTGTCTGGTCCAAACTCTATTATTTACAGACCGCCGTCATATAGCTGAAATATTGCTGAGTCCGGCATTAAACACCAGACAAACAAACAAACAAACAAACTTCTATGTGTGAAGACATTTCTTGTGTGATATTGCTTGAATATTGCTAAACGGGCCTAAAATCAAATTCACTCACTCACTCATGTCACCACTGTATGTTAAAGAAACTTGGAAGGATAAGACTGTATCCCCATCCTTTGTGTAGTCTGATATAGGTTTAGTATGAGAGGCGCAGTTTAACTGCATTATGAAGACATCTTGTCTAGTATTGCCAGTGTGCAGATGTGGACGATTTGGTCTTGCATAAACACAGATCTATCTTTGTGCAGTTTGATTAGATAGGAAAGTATTTCCATTGCCTCCGACAGAAGGACAGTGTTGACAGTAGCTGTGATCTTATCAGCTCAGCTAAGCTCTAGGTTACACAGTCATTTGTTGCTATGCATTGTGACAACAGGAACCCATCATTTTTCCAATTTGTACCTAATTTCTATAAATTGCATCAGAGGATCAGGAATAATGTTACCCTAGCTTTTGTTGCAATTGTTAAAGGTCTCAACACATTAGTCAGAGACCTGCTTACACTAGTTAAGGGACAGTCACATTGATCGAATACCTGCTTGTATTATTTAAAAGGACAGTCACATTGATCGAAGACCTGCTTACACTAGTTAAGGGACAGTCACATTGATCGAAGAGCTGCTTGTATTATTTAAAGGGACAGTCACATTGATCGAAGACCTGCTTGTATTATTTAAAGGGACAGTCACATTAATCGAAGACTTGCTTGTATTATTTAAAGGGACAGTCACATTGGTTGGAAAACCCACTTGCACAGACACCCTCTCTCTAGTTAAAGGGACTCTTACTTTATTTGAGGATCCAAAGTTACGCTTGTCTATGATCCTGTCACAATAGTCAAAAGAGCAACTTTCCTTTCGTCTTAGAGAGACCTTCTTTTTTTATCAAAGAACCCATATACAATGTCATAGAATCCATGTTACACTTGTCAAAGAGCCATTATCTTTACATCAGTGAACATATTACACTTGTCAAAGAATTATGTTATGCTCGTCATAGAACCATGTTATGCTTGTCAAAGAACTATGTTATTATTGTCAAAGAACTATGAAATTATTGTCAAAGAACTATGTTATTATTGTCAAAGAACCATGTTAATATTGTCAAAGAACCATGTTATTATTGTCCAAGAACTATGTTATTATTGTCAAAGAACTCTGTTATTATTGTCAAAGAACCATGTCACACTTGTCAAAAAGACATGTTATGCTTGTCAAAGAAATATGTTACATTCATAAAGGAACTTTGTTACACCTGTCAACAGGCCCATGTTCTCCTTGTCAAAGATTGTTGAGTCTGCAATGTTGGTATTGAGAATGGAGCTGCTGATTTGGATATTCAGTTAGTGATCCTAAATCATTGCACAACTCATAGTTTAGCTGAAGGCGACAGTACCCAGACTAGAAAACAAGATTTGTAAGACCCACTGCCAATAGATAGTTCATGTCATGTGACCATGTGCATGGCAGTATTTTGATCTTGGGTCGGGCAGTGGCGAGGAACCTTAGTGAAACTTGAATCCAAACCTGCTCACCCATTTTATGACAATGTACCATCCACCCATCAACCATGGTCAGAGACCTGCTTACACTAACTAAGGGACAGTCACATTGGTCATAGACCCACATGTATTATTTAAAGGGACCGTCACATTGGTCAGAAAACCCACTTGCACGGACACCCTTTCTCTAGTTAAAGGGACTGTTACTCGCCATCTCACTCACCCATTCACCCACCTCACCTCACCTCACCTCACCTCACCTCACCCCACTCTCACCCCTCACCACACTCACCTATCCCACCCCCACACTTAGCCATGACACCCACTCTCTCATCCACCAAACCATCACACAGCTTCTGCAGTCTAGTGAGACATCAGCAGAGGCTGCACAAGTCTGCAGGGTTTCTCTAGTGAGACATCAGCAGAGGCTGCACAAGTCTGCAGGGTTTCTCTAGTGAGACATCAGCAGAGGCTGCACAAGTCTGCAGGGTTTCTCTAGTGAGACATCAGCAGAGGCTGCACAAGTCTGCAGGGTTTCTCTAGTGAGACATCAGCAGAGGCTGCACAAGTCTGCAAGGTTTCTCTAGTGAATAGCATGAGCAGAGTTCTGCAGAAATTCAGCAAACAGGACACAAGTTCTGAAAAAGTCGCTTCATGCCATCGACTGACTTTATGCAAAAAAGTGATGACATTTATGTCGGTGAGAGAACACGGACATTAAGATCTGATGCCGCAGTCCCTGACTGGAATCAGTATACTATACCACAACTCAGCAATACTCACCTTATCCCATATTGTTATCTTTGAGTAGCGGCTCGAATAAACAAACAAGTTGGACATTGTTGATTTATGGCTTGAATATGTAACAGGTGTTATTATTACCTTTTATTGAATGTAATAATGGGGTTAAAACGAGAACTAAACGTCTTCTGGAGTGATCCATGTGAATAGGTACATAAAAGAAAGGAACTATATGCTGCAAGCCTGTGAGATGGGAGAATGGGTGGGTGTTCATGCTACAGGTTGGTGGCAGCATAGGTGATTAAAGCATTACATGGTTTACAAGTTCATCTGTACAATACAAATACATTTTATTTTTTTTCTCGTATATTTATTTATATATATGAAAATTCTTATAAAAGCACAGTCTGTAATCCTATTGATATTAGTACAGATACCTATTTACTTTCTTTCTTTTTTTAAGTTTCTTTGTGTATGTGTGTGTGAGGTGAACTATCTACTATAGATTTTACAAGCTACTTCAAAGGTCATAGATGCTAACTAACCAGGTTTACAAGAATCACAGCACACGTTCAGCTGCATGGGTCAATTATTGGTCTAGAGATATGTTGGCCTTGTCAGTGTCTGCAGTCCCTTGTCTCACAATGACCACTACTTGTTGCTACATGTCTGGTATCTGTTTCAGTGCGGCCTGCGACACACAGTCCGGTCACATGGTGGCCATCAAGAAGCTGAGCCGGCCCTTCCAGAACGTCACACACGCTAAGCGTGCATATAGGGAATTTGTGCTCATGAAATTGGTCAACCATAAGAATGTAAGTAACATGTTTTCAAAAGATGGTTTTCACTTTGCTATGAGAGAGAGAGTGTATGTAGTCAACAATCACCAGTATTCCAGCTGTTTCAGGTCTCTGTCCATCTTCCTGTGGCAAGGGAGTTAACTGACTGTAAAAGTCCACTTTACATCGTAGCGCCACTGGAATAGGTCTTCAGTAACCCATGCTTGTTGTAAGAAGCGACTAACGGGATTGTGTGGTCGCTGACTTGATTGATTTCATCGTATCCCAATTGCGTAAATCGATGGTAATGATTTCAATCACTGGATTGTTTGGTCCAGACTCAATTATTTACAGACCGCCATCATATAGGTAGAATATTACTGAGTGTGGCTTTAAAAAAAAAAAAAAAAAAAAAAATCAAACAAAACAAACCTGCTTTATATAAGACTTTGTACATAAGGCTGACATTTATGACTTGCTTTATGTATATTTAGTGTATATGTAAGACAAAAATAAATAAATGACTATACTTGAATCCACTTGCTTCAGTATAAGTAATACTTAAGAGGACAAAATTGGTGAAATATGGAAACAAACTTATTCTCTTGTTAACAGCCTGCATTACTTCATTGCATTTAATAAAAGCACAAAGCAGCTTTACACCTATCATGCTCATTCACTCATTGTGCATGAGGTAAGAGGTTATATTTCTAGTCTTATTTGATTGTTTCTGTTTGATTTGGAATCTATGGAGAAGAGCTCTTACCAAAATGCCCTTAAGAAGCTAATACCTGACTTTCAAAACTAAAATAGGATTTTAAATAGGATTTTGTATGTTTCATGTAAATTCTTTTCATTGAATTTGACTGTCCTGAGAATGGAAGGTTGATGGCTCCTTCCCAGGACTCATGCCACAAGACATTCGTACTCTGACTGGCGTGTGATATTGAGGGGATAAAACAAGGACTGTGCGTCTCAGATGTGGTATCTCTGTGGACGGGCACTATTAAACCTGTATTAGTCCAAACTAGTAGAAGCAGACACATACGTGCACGTCGCTATACGAGAACAATAATCTTGAATGTGATGTTAAACCCCACCTCTCCCTGCCCTGTCACCTCAGGTGCACAATTTGCTGTGCAGAGTTATGTGCCTTGGACATGCCAGAAACCTGTGATCGTGGGTTTGAATCCCGGTTTGCCCTGATTATATTTCTAGATTTTTCAGCACCAAACCATGGATTTTACCGAAGTGGTAAATGTCAAAGACCTGCATCACTTTGGGCTTTCCTCTCTCATCGACCTGACACACTGTGATATAACTGGAAAACCATTCAAAATGGTGTTGAACTCACCTCTTCTTACCTCAGTTCACCTCACCTCACCTCACATCACCTTACCTCACATCACCTCAGGGGGCGGTCAGGTAGCCTAGTGGTTAAAGTGTTCGCTCGTCACGCCGAAGACCCGGGTTCGATTCCCGACATGGGTACAATGTGTGAAGCCCATTTCTGGTGTCCACCGCCGTGATATTGCTGTAATATTGCTAAGAGCGGCGTAAAACCATACCAACTCACTCACTCACTCACATCACCTCACATCTCCCATTTTGTCTGAGCTAACCATGACTGAAAGTGATGAGGATCAATAGTCCACATAACGTCACTGGCTCCCCACAGACAAACATCCTTCTTGACAAAAAAAAATACAATAAAGTGTTGTTAGTTTTAAAATATTCATCAAGGAGGCACAAGTCTCATAGCACTTCTAATATTGATCTCATGAAGAAGCAACAGCTCAAAGCAAGTAGCCAGTCTGTAACGACTTTCTGGTATTGCGCCTTAGCTTATCACGTTGTCTACCAACAACTGACCAGGTGGAGATGGAGAGGGCCCCCTCTTGCTCCAGGCTAAAGTGCCGGCACGCTCAGCTAGCTCATTGTGTTGGAGGAAGTTGTACATGAGTGTGCCTTGTTTCCTGTTGCAAGCACATGTCTCAGTCCGGGATCAATTTATGAGAAAAGGATTGGTTATGATGTTTGGACTGTGGGTTATCAGTCTAATGTAAGTGTTTTATACGCCATACTATTTGACTTTGGCAAAGTGGATCGTTGTTACTGACATAATTTGTTGGACTTATCAGCTGGTTGATGGTGTACTTCAGAGTCTCTGGTCAAGATCCTAGCCAGTAGACTTTCAGATTGGGGATGCTTTTGATGATAGTGATGGTATTTGAAATAGATTACAGTCAATCACAGTTTTGTCCTCATTAAAGAGTTCTTCATTCCTTGCCCTAGCGAGGGTTCTTGGGCAGAATAGGTCTTCGTCATTGCCCCTTGTGGGTGTTACATAGAATAAGTCCACTGTACCTCATCCATACCCTTGTTGAGATTACAGGATGAATAGTGAATAGGAACCCTGTACCTCATCCATACCCTTGTAGGGATTACAGGCAAAATAGAAACCTTGTACCTCATCCATACCCTTGATGGGATTACAGGCAGAATAGGAACCTTGTACCTCATCCATACACTTGTATGGATTACGGGCAGAATAGGAACCCTGTACCTCATCTATACCCTTGTATGGATTACGGGCAGAATAGGAACCCTGTACCTCATCCATACCCTTGTCGGGATTATGGGCAGAATAGAAACCCTGTACCTCATCCATACCCTTGTAGGGATCACAGGCAGAAAAAGAACCCTGAACCTCATCTATACCCTTGTAGGGATTACGGGCAGAATAGGAACCCTGTACCTCATCCATACCCTTGTAGGGATTACGGGCAGAATAGGAACCCTGTACCTCATCCATACCCTTGTCGGGATTATGGGCAGAATAGAAACCCTGTACCTCATCCATACGCTTTTAGGGATCACAGGCAGAAAAAGAACCCTGTACCTCATCTATACCCTTGTAGGGATTACGGGCAGAATAGGAACCCTGTACCTCATCCATACCCTTGTAGGGATTACGGGCAGAATAGGAACCCTGTATCTCATCCATACGCTTTTAGCGATCACAGGCAGAAAAAGAACCCTGTACCTCATCTATACCCTTGTATGGATTACGGGCAGAATAGGAACCCTGTACCTCATCCATATGCTTTTAGGGATCACAGGCAGAAAAAGAACCCTGTACCTCATCTATACCCTTGTATGGATTACAGGCAGAATAGGAACCCTGTACCTCATCCATACCCTTGTCGGGATTATGGGCAGAATAGGAACCCTGTACCTCATCCATACCCTTGTAGGGATTACGGGCAGAATAGGAACCCTGTACCTCATCCATACCCTTGTCGGGATTATGGGCAGAATAGAAACCCTGTACCTCATCCATACGCTTTTAGGGATCACAGGCAGAAAAAGAACCCTGTACCTCATCTATACCCTTGTAGGGATTACGGGCAGAATAGGAACCCTGTACCTCATCCATACCCTTGTAGGGATTACGGGCAGAATAGGAACCCTGTATCTCATCCATACGCTTTTAGCGATCACAGGCAGAAAAAGAACCCTGTACCTCATCTATACCCTTGTATGGATTACGGGCAGAATAGGAACCCTGTACCTCATCCATATGCTTTTAGGGATCACAGGCAGAAAAAGAACCCTGTACCTCATCTATACCCTTGTATGGATTACAGGCAGAATAGGAACCCTGTACCTCATCCATACCCTTGTAGGGATATCAGGCAGAATAGGAACCCTGTACCTCATCCATACCCTTGTCGGGATTACGGGCAGAATAGGAACCTTGTACCTCATCCATACCCTTGTAGGGATTACGGGCAGAATAGGAACCCTGTACCTCATCTATACCCTTGTATGGATTACAGGCAGAATAGGAACCCTGTACCTCATCCATACGCTTTTAGGGATTACGGGCAGAATATGAACCCTGTACCTCATCTATACCCTTGTAGGGATTACAAGCAGAATAGGAACCCTGTACCTCATCCATACCCTTGTAGGGATTACAGGCAGAATAGGAACCCTGTACCTCATCTATACCCTTGTATGGATTACAGGCAGAATAGGAACCCTGTACCTCATCCATACGCTTTTAGGGATTACGGGCAGAATATGAACCCTGTACCTCATCTATACCCTTGTAGGGATTACAAGCAGAATAGGAACCCTGTACCTCATCCATACCCTTGTCGGGATTACGGGCAGAATAGGAACCTTGTACCTCATCCATACCCTTGTAGGGATTACAAGCAGAATAGGAACCCTGTACCTCATCCATACACTTGTAGCGATCACAGGCAGAAAAAGAACCCTGTACCTCATCTATACCCTTGTAGGGATTACTGGCAGAATAGGAACCCTGTACCTCATCCATATGCTTTTAGGGATCACAGGCAGACAAAGAACCCTGTACCTCATCTATACCCTTGTATGGATTACAGGCAGAATAGGAACCCTGTACCTCATCCATACCCTTGTAGGGATATCAGGCAGAAAAGGAACCCTGTACCTCATCCATAACCTTGTAGGGATTACAAGCAGAATAGGAACCCTGTACCTCATCTATACCCTTGTAGGGATTACGGGCAGAATAGGAACCCTCAACCTCATCCATACCCTTGTAGGGATTACAGGCAGAATAGGAATCCTGTACCTCATCCATACCTTTGTAGGGATTACGGGTAGAAAAGGTCCCCTGTACCGCTCCCTCGTCCCATGTGGCGATTACAGGGCAGAAAAAGTCCTCACAAGGTCATACGATAGCACAAAGACCAAATGGTCGGAAAAACTTCAAAGTAAGAGCAGTACAAAGTGAAATGATGATGGTTGTTTAATGTGAATGTCATCAATATTACAACAATGTCATGTCAGTCAGTAATTAATCAGATAAACATGGATCAGATAAACGATCATTTAACTGGATTCTGTTGGCAATGGATGACCCACAATCAAGCACATTGTTCCTATCATAGTTCTTGTGACAATCACAGGGTATTGGGGACCTATTCAGGCACTGTTTCAATAAATTAGTTAAAAAAAGTGACATAATTGGTTCTTCA